TAGTATATATATATATATATATATATATATATTTGGGATATTTAAGGATGTATATATTTGTGAATCAATAATCTATAAATATGCATACATTCAGGAATTAAATATCTTGTAGATAGATATATATCCTGAATTAAATATCTGACCGAGATATACGTATCTGTCATTGGTTGAATTCATTTGATTTGTCACATAAATATGAATGTAGCGCCGGCATTTGATGCTCATATATCAAAACGATCTTGTGCAATTAACGCATGATGTATACATATATTGTGAAGTCGATGAGATAACAAGTGTTGATAAGAATGACATGGTGTACTCGGTTCTTGGTTCCTTACAACGCTGTACTGATCTATCATAAAGCTTCTTCGTCTCATTCAATTGATCATTTCATTTATACATGAAACCATTTTACTAGACTAGTAAAAAAAAATTTTTTTTTTTTCTTTCACTACTTATAACTCAATGATTTATGATACTTTAGAGTAAAATTAAAACTGATTGTTTGAATTGTTGACTTTTGCTAAGTTTAAGTATTTATTTTTGACGATAAATTGTTTTTCTTTTTCTTAATATTTTAAAAATTCTACTAATCGAAATTTGAAATTAGTTAGATTGAAAAAGTTTTATTTATAAATAGTTATTGAAATATTAATTTCAAAGTTTATTAATGGTCTTAATTTATTATACTTCTTAAAGGAAAATATAATTAGTTGTGATTAAAATTATATGTTAATAGTTTTTGTTCTAATCATTTTTATGCTTATCGTTTGCACTGCACACTCATTTTAAATAGACGAATATGTATTGATGATAAAGTAGTAAAATTTTTGAGTTACAATGGAAATAGAAGAAAAAGATAAGGAAACGCTCAATGATCAACCTTACTGTTCTAATCAACAACAAATAAATGAAGAAGAGGAAGAAGATAAGATTAAGAAAGGGGAAAAGCAACCCATTGATAAGATGACTCTTCTACAACAAGCATTATCACAAGCTAGCGTTACACGAGCTAAACGTTGCAAACAGGTATCAATCATTACAATTTCTTCTTTTTTTTCTTTTTATTATAATATTTACACAGTAATAATATGTTAATTATCACTTCTTTTAATTATAGATTCTTATTTGAACATCACAATATTGTTGGACTTTATTGTGATTTGTAATTGATATTTCAGTATTATTACTTCTAATTCTTTCATAGTTATATGATATAAACAAAGAGATTTGAAAAAGAAATAATTAAGTCATCAAATTACTTTTATGACTGTCACATACTAATGTTCAATCTTTGCTTGAAAATTTTGGTATATTACAATTAGTAAGGTCGCAAAACTCTAAGTCCTTCCATTATAATTTCAATTCTTCCTGCAGATTTTAAAGCATATACATACATTAACAAAAGAAAAATTGCCAAATCAAAGTAGCAAAAGTTAAAATATCAAAGTGATCAAAGTAACATACAATTGAAATGATCAACAATTATACCATCCAATGAAATGATCATTTCTTAACAACTTTTTTATCATTTCTTTTACATCAAAAAGAAATATTTTTGCCCCAGTTCCAATAAGTATCATTTAAAGAGAGTAATTTGGCACTATAATTAAGTACAAATTTCAACATAGCAATCCTGAATACCTGATCTTCAAGAATGAAGCCAGTTTTATGAGCTGTAGTTTGTGGTTGTTTAACAATTTACTACACCATGAAGAGGAGTAGAGCAAGAAGCGGTGTAGCATCGTTAGTAATTGTATACTTCATTCTGTCTTTAAATCCCCCCCTCCCCCCCCCCTCTTCTCCTCTTCCCCCTCTTTTGCCACCCCACACTCCTCATCTTTTTCATATCTCTTCCACTTCTGATCAGCAAACACCCATTTCGTACTATTTCCATCTTAACCCACCCTCACCTCCATTAAAACCTCTATTGGCGGCACACTTTCATATCTTCAAATTATTATGTGAAATGAGTGGAACAGCTCCTAAACATACAATTATCAAAGAGATTCTTTCATTTCAAACTTCTTCAACATTTCCAAAATGTCTAAAATGAATTTTCCGAATTTTTCAGAAAATATTCCAACTAATCAGTATCGATTATTATCATTTAACACTACTATCATTGATAGTTTTGATTTATTTATTAAAATTTATCAAAATTTTCTTTATAAGTTATGTGTATTTAGATGTTTATAAAATTTCCTAATAGTTAACTTAAATATTTATTCGAAATGTTCACTGCTAGATGAAACATCTTTTCCATAATTTCACCTAATTTTTTGCTTCCGAAAATTTATAAAAAATCAATTCCGGTCAGTTATTTTTATGATTAGATGGATGAAAATTCTCGAAAATTCTCGAATACATACAATTTAATGATCATTTTGAAATGATTAATCATTGTAAACATCTAATACAATTGATTTAAATGTATAATGTATTTTTTCTTATCTCAAATATTCTTTAAAATTTCTCATGTATATATGAATTATAATTGATACAATTTTCGGAAATATTTCTTGTTAATAAATTGTTAAATTTCTATTTTATAACCTTAAAGTTCATTGATAAATTTATTAAGGATAATAATTAGGACGAAAATCACTTAATAAATTGATTTAATGGTTAAATAATTCCTAATTTTCCATCATATAACTTCCTTTTTTTCTCTCCCCCTCCCCCCTTCACTTCACTCTACTCTTCTTCTCTCCCTCCCTCTCTTTCTTCTAATTTTTAGTTGATATTATCATGGTGATGTTATCACAAATGTTTATGCTAAACTGGTTTTGAACAAATTCATATTTTATTGATACGAGAGATTGTGAATTGTACTATTTTATGACGAATAATTTAAACGAGGAAAAAATGACTTAACGAAAGTACAAAAAAAAAAATGAAAGAGAGAAAAAAATTAAATTTCTGTTATTTTGATAGCTTATTTTAACATTTGAAGATGTAAATTTTTTTCATTATATTATTATTATCAATTATTGAATTAGACTAATTAAGGAAGTTAAAAATTTCCATTTATTTTAGCAACGATTAGCATTATCAGAAATGAAGAAATGTGATAAAATCAATCAATTGCAAACCGAAAATCGCCTTTTTCAGTTCGTTTGATTTATTTGCCTAAACTAAATGGTTGAAATGAAAAAATAGAATTGCAAAGATAAGAATAAAAGGAAATATATTGTAATTTGAAAAAATTCTTAATTTAATCTTTTAACCGAAATTTCTTACCATTTGAAAAGTGATTATTCAAAAATTTTCAGGATCCACCGGAAATTTATCACTTGTGATTGAAAAATTTCCTCTAATCTTTTAATTTCAACTTTAATTTTTTAGGAAACCTAATCATGTAACGAGTTAAAAAATTGATCCTAAAAATTGTTCATCTTCTAGAATTTTCCAAATGAATGTAGTAGTGATATAATTTAATCGATGGAAAAGGTGCAAAATACATTTCCTGTGCAATAATTCAATTATTGGATTCGGATTACTTATAGCTCATTTATTTAATAATTATGTTTTATTATTATAACATACAATTATGAATACTTTTAATTTTTATCTATAACAACTGAGATATATTGTATTAAAGATCAGGAAATATGGTTGAAAATTTTCCAATAAGTGTCACTAATCATCCAATAATACTTGATCGTTACAAATAGAAGATTATTGATTAATTTTTAAATCTAATGAAAAATTACATACATTTCGAACTTTCGGGAAATTTCTTTCATGATACTTTCAAAAGTGGAAGTTAAAAATAAAACAAAGGAAATCGATCAATGGTCATATTTTTCATTTTTGCATTCTTCATTTACAGGTCAAATAGGCCATCAGAAGAAACATTTCATGAAACCAGTGAATTCATGGAAGTATGCTCATCGGCAATCAAAAATCACAAATTATTTCCTATTGTTGAAGTTAGCTTTTTCAAAAAAAAAGAAAGAGAAGAAGTTTCAAATCAGTTGAAATTTTCGAACAACTATAATAATAATAATAATAATAATAATAATAATAATAATAATAATAATAATAATAATAATAATAATAATAATAATAATAATAATAATAATAATAATAATAATAATAATAATAATAATAATAATAATAATAATAATAATAATAATAATAATAATAATAATAATAATAATAATAATAATAATAATAATAATAATAATAATAATAATAATAATAATAATAATAATAATAATAATAATAATAATAATAATAATAATAATAATAATAATAATAATAATAATAATAATAATAATAATAATAATAATAATAATAATAATAATAATAATAATAATAATAATAATAATAATAATAATAATAATAATAATAATAATAATAATAATAATAATAATAATAATAATAATAA